TGCCTCTCTCTCTCTTTTTTTCCCCCTCTGCTTTCTTATGAACTGATAAAAGCATACATTTCTCTCCTGACGACAGAGGATATGGGACTCTCACCAACAATCAACATAACCAGCGGCTGATCCCTGCCCCTCCTCCAACACTTGTCCACAAGAATCAAGAGTGCAGAGGAGTTCATTTACATGGGCTCTATTGTTTGGGTTAAAAAAAAATGGTGGCAGCAATTTTTCTTCCTAACTTCTTTGCTTTGCTGAAGTAGGGTAGAAGGGGAGGGGTGGGGGGCAGCCGACAAAACACACAAATTGCTGTTTTGACTGACTTCTTTCAATCCTTTTCTTTCCCATTACAAATAGCTCCTGCAGGTCTGTCTCGGAAGGGACTGTTTTGGCTTGAGCTGGTGAAAAAGCAAGTCGGTGGGGAGTATATCTTTCAGAATTAATTCCATGCCGGTCTCCCACAAAATCCCACCCAGGTAAGGACTGCCGAGTCACCCTCCTTGCTGGCTGGGGCTTCTTAGAAAGACTTGAGACCCTTTCCCGAGTTTGCATATTCATCCGGGCGATTGCAAAGTCTCAAAGCCTCGCTCAATTAGAAATGAAAATTGGTGCTGCGAGATCGTCGGTATTTTTGATGTATCAGCTGGTTTAATATTCAACCTTCCTCTTTCAGAAAACCAGGGGTATAAAACTTGCTGTATTGAATGAGGCACTGGGCTGTAAAGTAAACGACATTGCTCTGGAATGGGGACCCTCCCCCAGTCCATTGTGGGCCTCAGGAGAAGCCAGTTTGAAGGTCGGAAAGGAACAAATTTATATCCTGTGTCTTCCAACCTGTAGTGGCAGGATGGCCACGGGGCAGGATATCTATGATCCCAGCAGACGGTTGAAGGAGAAGTTCTGGAGCCCTCGGTGGCTTCTGCAGCTTTGATTGGGATTTACCAGGTACACCGCGATGGGGTGAGGGGTGAGGGCTGAAGGCTGGCAGGCCTCCCAGCCTCCAGCAAGTCTTCACTCTTTCTGGGCTCTCCAGCCTTCTCTCGTGTTCTCTCTGCTTCTCTGCATTCCTGGAGTCCTGTGACGCCGCCCTTATAAGCCCAGCCTGAGCCCAGGTATACCCACTTACGCATGCCCACATCCTACACCAGGTGCCCGCCATCAGGCATGCATTCAGGACCGCAAGGATCCATCATCAATCCTATGGGGGGGAGGAGGGGGCAGAAAATCCTGAAAATCACTTACCCTACGCAAGCTTTTGCCAATTGACGTTGGAGAAATTGCTGATTATCTGAAGTGGTTTCTTCCACTATAAAATGAGAAAGATAATCATATTTGCCAAACAGGAGAGCTGTGCCCAGTAGGTGAAATGATAAAATTATATTTCAATTGTGCCTGGCTCATGGTGGGTGAGAATTAAGTGGCACTTATCTTGGGATAATTTTGTTTGTAACAAGAAGTCAGACTTATAGTGGCTTCTATGGGTGCATGCCACAAGTCCCTGAAAGCATGAATAAAAGCAGACAAGATTTGACCTTTGTTGTCCAAATTAAAATTTTTTTCAGTTTCCTCTAGAGGAGAGCTGGTCCTCCAGGTTACCCTATGAAGCCAGCTTACCCAAATCAATTCAAGTTCAAAATAACTAGGCAGGATCTTCTTCCTGTATGTTGAGGGAGTATTATGTAAATTAGGACCTGGATTTTTATTTCAAATACACGCAAGGGGCTTCGGGCAATTAAGCAGTATTCATGAAACATGTTATGTCCAGGGTGAAAGAAATGTTTTGTTATCACTGGGAGGTTACAAATGAAAAACAGATGGCCTCATCAAGGGAAAAACTGCCATTTCCTTTTCAGCCCCGTACTGCCCTACCTTCCTTCACTCTAGGCTAACAATTTTAATTGGGCAAGATCTTCCAGAGCCTTGTAAGGAAGCTAATATCTGACCCTCCGGCTTAAAGACAAAAGTAACTGACATTACTGAGCTGACGCCAGGCACATTCTCACCTCATTTAATTCTCCAGATGTTTTGAAAGGGGGATGTTTTACATCCTTTTATAAGATAACAGAGATTAAGCAATGTATGCAGGATCCTGCAGAAGTGGCAAAAAGGCCATAGTTCCTGGCAATGACAGCAGTTGTGGGGAGAACTTTGTGGTTTCGAAAAGAACCGAGGAAAACTGAAATGGGCAAATCTGTAAGTCAGCAGAGATCATTAGTGAGAAATCAAGACAAAATTAGTCTTTTTCTAAACACAAAAGCAAAGGGTTATTTGCATATTATATTTTCATTTTTTTAAAGATTTATTTATTTATACATACAAGAGCAGGGGTACAGGCCAGAGATGAGGGGGGTGAGAGAATTCACCAGAGACAGAGTGGGGAGCAGAGCAGTTAGAAATACACTGCTGAGGGGAGCAGCGGGCAAGTCAGGAGAGGTCTGCTGTGCCATGTGGGTAGCTCCCTGGCCGGTGATAGACTGATGCTGCAGAGGCTGTGGACAGCTTCGCAGGCTGTGTCTTAACCCCTTGTGCCACCGGGGAGGTCCTGCATTATATTTTTAATCCAAACCTAAGCCTGGAAGCTATGCACTGTGGAAACTGTAATCACAAAGAGGACCCAGATGCATTAAGTAAAAGAACCCTAAACCACCGTCTATCACTTTCATCAATTTTCTCATTTCTCTGGTTTTTACAAAGTAGCCAGTTTGAAAAAGAAGACAGTGGGTGAGTGTGACTATTTCACTCTGAATGTGTTAAACTAATTTCTGTTAAAAGAGAAACGAAAGTTCGAGACAGGATTGTCTTGGCAAAGGTTTTGTTCTTGAACTATGACCTATTGCTTGAGAATACTCGAGTGATTACACGGTAGGGTGTGTTCAGTCAGGTGACCCCATCTGTTTTCAGCAGCGTCTCAGCAGCCCTGCAGTGACACAGCCGTGTGGAAAGGCAGAAGGCACAGTGAATGCTCATCTACAAGAAATGACAAGACTAAGAGGTTTCAGCCTCTTCCAGGACTTAGAATAAATGTTTGGGAGAAGAATCTGGAAAAGATTTTTTTTAACATGGCTTTCCCGTCCACTTCCCTACTTCTTTTCCAAAATCTTTCTCTCCCCTTTTGTTTGAAATGATGAGATCAGGAGGGGTCCTGCAGGACTTGGGGCTGGGGGAAGGGGTGTCATAAGGCCTTCAGATCCCCCTTGCCAGCCCATTCTTCTGTTTTAAACTCCAAGTAAGCTTTTTTTTAAAAGCTGCTTTTTTTTGACATTTCATTCTCTCATCCTCTCCTTTACTTTTTTTTTTTTTAGAAATATTTATTTTTGCATACAAGAACTGGGGTACAGGCTAGAAGTTCCAGGGGGCAAGAGGATTCACCAGAGACAGATTGGGAAGCAAAACAGGCAAACTGACTGAAATCCACTGCTGAGGGGAGCAGTGGGGGAGTCAGGAGAGGTCTGCTGCGCCATATAGGTCACCTCCCTGGGAGGGGGAGAATAGAACTTGTGATGTGATGCTGTGGCTGCAGATAGCTTCATAGTGCTGCGACTTAACCCCTTGTGTCAAGTAACCTTAAAGATGATCTGGTTCCTTGATCTCAGAGGATAGTTCTGGCTCAGACAGGCACATTGGCCAAGGTCACAGGGCTCATTTAATGGTTTTGCCTGCAAGTTCAGCTTCAGGATTCCGTGGGTGTTCTTTGCACCTAATCACTTGCAGTTATCATGCTCTGCAAGGTGTCACCTATCTTCCTGGTGGCTCATTATCTCCCAGGAAGGTTTGGAGTTTGCCAGTGTTTTCCCAGTTTAAGCTGTTCCTGCCTGAGTGATGTAGGCATGGGAATGAAGGTGGGGTGCAGAGTTACTGCAAGGGATTTAAAAACCCAAATCATAGTACACAAGGTCTGTAAAGAACAATGATCTTATTCAGAAATGCATTGGTTAGAAAGATAGACATGACTTTTCAAATATATAGGCGAGGTTTTCTTTTAAATACAAATGTCCAAGTGTTTTTTAAGTCCTAGTAGCTTTTTAATCAGTCAATAGAAACAATTATGTGGCCATCTTTGGAACTCTTTTAATATTGTAGCTCTCAGAAAATAATTGTCATACCTGAAGACTGTGCATTGCATCTAAGCCTTCCTGTGTTACTCCTTAAAAAAGAGCATCAAGAGGACTGCTAACAAAACTAATTAACATCCACCCTGGGTTCAATCCTGGCTATGCAAATGTTTTTAGGAACAGGAGTTACTCCTCCACTGACCTTCAAATTGAATCATGCAGATCGATGGCACCCCTTTATGAAGTCAGTCTCCCCTTCCTGCTTCCGCAATACAAAATCCTTCCCCAGGGGAGCCGGTGATCTTGGTCTGTGATTGCCCTTGATCCCCAGCTTCCTACCAGTCTGCCTCCTGTAGCTCTGCCTCCCTGGAGCCATAGGAGGCAATTCACATTCCAGGATTTCAGCCCGACTTTTGAGGGAGGGGCTGGGTTGAAGATGTAACTCCCAGATCAAAGCTATAGACTAGGGGTATCTTTTTGTTCCCACACTGAAACCGGAAGATCACTTAAGTTACACCCACTGCACATGACTAGCTTCAGATGAAGCAATACTAGCTAGCAGCTCAGAGCTGGTGACACAGGAAGGGAGAAGCATGTGGTCACCTAAAAGGAACTGGGTGGGAGGCACACATGATAGCCAGAGACAGAGGGTCCCAATAGCATTAATTAATTATGAATCTCTGTAGCCTACTTCAGCTAGATCTCTGGAGGATATTAACAATAAGGCACTCAGCATCTCTCAAGACCTAGATGCCTGGCATTTACTTCCTATTTTTCACTCTGCTCTCCTGATTAAACTGTCTCTTGACAGCAGAAATCATACCAAATGCCCATGTTGTCTCCTCTTGCACTGGAATGGAGAATGTAGTGTCATAAGGGGCCTGCTGATGGAAATCAGCTCAAAAATTCGGTTTTACAAAAAACACACATTTGAAAAACACAGAAGATTGGTGGTCATTTTTAATCATTTAAAGCTACAGTATCAAGTTTGATAAGTATATATATAAATACAGTTACATACCATAAATATCCACATGGCAAAATACCTGCCTTCAGGCAGACAAAAGTCTTTGCAACTAAATAAACCAACCTGAAGTAATACTGAAGAAAAGCAGAGGCCGAGGTAATTTTTTTCTAAAGTGACTATAGCCTATATTAAAACATTCTCACTGTAAAAGTTCAAGTAGTTACAAAACAAAGGCTGGTCTCATAACCCAAAACTGCAACTTAAACTAACGTATTTTCAACTGAAAAAAAAAAGTTATCATCATAAATAGATAAAATAAATAAGATTATCCCTGTTCAAAGTCAATCATGATTTTTTTTTTCTTTTTTACATGTCTGGGGGTTTTGCTAATAGCCTGGGCCTTTTAATAATAATAATGACATTCATGAACCCTTTCCTGTAATCTTCATATAATACCAATCCTAATCAGAGAGAAAACTTCATGTGTATAAATGGGGTTCATGTGCTGATCGATCTGTTCCCTTTTTAAAAACAGTATCTCAACTATGAAAACATGCTTAATCCTCTAAAAAAAAAAATCTCACCTTACTAGGATACAGAGACTTGACTGAGAAATAACATTTTAGAGACTTTACATACACCTTTTCTGAGCAAATTACTTTACACAGTAATTTATAATAGCATCATTTGTTTTGCTAAGTTTTAATTACAGCAGTGAAAGGTCTAATTCTCTTTTTTCATTATTTCTGGCTATGCAAAATCCCAACGCACTTTATCTTTTCACATTCTGCCTGCAAGAATAGCAAATAATATTCCTATACTTCTATCAAATTTTTTCAAAGCACACACTTTCCAGTTATGACCCACAGGAACACAATAATGTGGTAGGTCATCTGAACAGTTGCAATAAATTTTAAGTCAAAAGAAACAAACTATCAAGTTATCTTATGTTGTAGTGACCTATAAAACCAACATTCACTATGCTATTCAGTGTTCTCAGAACGAAAATTTTACTTTTAACAAGGTAATATATAAACCAAAGATTATACATGTCAACTCCCCTTACACTGCTTAGGTTGAGCAGCAACCTTCAGCAAAAATATTAGAACGATTCTCTATGCAAAAACAACATGTATCATTAATTAATTCGCTATTTTTAAAGCTCTTCCATGCTTGCTTTAAAATAAACAAATCAAGTAGATGTTTAATGTCCTCACATCCAAAGAATGACTTCTGGGAACTCTGCAACAGAAATTCAGTTTTATATATTCCATCTTCCTTTCCAAGGGCACCCCGAAGCAAGTGAGTACTCCTTCACTTTTTTCTCCATTACAAGGACTTCTCTCCACTAATTGATAAAATCAGAGCCTACTGAGGAATCTTCCATTTTAAAGGAGACTCCTCATTCACAAGCTTCTGACAGTCAGGTTCCTGAGTGGAAGAATTTGGAAATGAGGTTCAGAATCTTCTGCCGAAAATTCAGTTTGTCTCCGATTCTCCTGATTTGCAAGGCACATTCCACCTCAGGCTCTGAAAAGGGAAGCAAAACACCAAATTATGTGGACAAATTATAAACCAGCAAGTATGTCCACCCCAGGGATGAAGTTGAGTATTGACCTGGTGAAGCCTTTCTCTCAACTTAAACCTTATGAGACACCGGTTTCCCTAAAAAGCATCCTGGATAGGGCCTCCGAGCGCTGGGTTGCGAAGCTGCCCGCAGCCTCTGCAGCACTGGTTTGATCCCCGGCCACCGCAAGGGTCCCACATGGTGGGCAGACCTCTCCTGCTGCCCGCTGCTCCCCTCAGCAGTGTACTTCGGTCCTTCTGCCTGCTCTGCTCCCTGCTCTGGCTCTGGTGAATTCTCTCACCCTCCCGCGCTTCTGACTGTACCCAGTGCTTGTATAAACAAAACACACAAACAAATAAATAAATAAATAATACATGCCTCTTAAAAAAAAAAAAAAAAGCATCCTGGATATGGTCAGTTAATGTGTCAAACATTCCAAAGAACTAGTTAGTGAGCCGGCATTAGGAAAATGCCCTCCTTTTCCCTTTCATCTAATGTTGGGGGAAACTGAAGTCATTCTTGTTCTTTTGTAGTGTTTTCAAGTAAGATTTATTTTTTATTTTTTTAGATTTATTCATACAAGCACTGGGCACAGTCAGAAGCGCGGGAGGGTGAGAGAATTCACCAGAGCCAGAGCGGGGAGCAGAGCAGGCAGAAGGACCGAAGGACACTGCTGAGGGGAGCAGCGGGCGGCTGGAGAGGTCTGCGCGCCCTGTGGGACCCTCTCAGGCCAGGGATCCAACCAGCGCTCCACAGGCTGTGGGCAGCTTCGCAGCCCAGTGCTCAACCGCTGCGCCACCGGGGAGGCCCAAGATTTACTTTTTAGATAGCGGTAAGAATATGCCCTCCTCAACAGACGTTATTTTCTTCCTCATTTAAGAAAACTGAATTTTTCTCATAAGAGCCATAAAATCTAATTCCAAAAGTGTGCATTGTCTGAAATAATTTAGAAGTATACATTTATTTATTTTTTTAAGATTTATTTTATTGGGGTTCCCTGGTGGTGCAAGAGGTCAAAGTCTCAGCGCGAAGAAGCTATCTGCAGTGGCTGCAGCATCAGTTTGATCCCCAGGCAGGGAGCTGACCCACGTGGCAGACCTCTCTAGTCTCACCCGCTGTTCCCCTCAGTGTATTTCAGTCGGATCCACCTGTTCTGCTCCCTGCTCTGGCTCTGGTGAATTCTCTCACCCTCATCCCGCACCTCTGGGCTACACCCAAGAGGGGTGTATTTATTTTATATATAAAATAAATATTTTTAAAAATTCATACAGATTTATTTTATTTATTTATGTATACAAGAACTGGGAGAGGTCTGCTGAGCCATGTGGCCAAGAGAGCCCCACCAGTGGGGCCCAGAACTATACATTCTTCCCACAAGCCCAGTGTGTACCAATTCACTACCTTTATGGAGATGAGTGAAAATGTTTTAATTCCCATACTTACTACTGTTGAGAACTGATATTGTAATTAACTGAATGGTTATTTAAGAAACATAATGCTTATCTAATTTTCAGGTAAACTTTTAAATAAATGAAATTAACATCACATCTATATTGAGCATATTTCAATTTTCTTGGATATTTCAAAAAGCAATTCAGGGTCTTTTTAGTCCAATTCAAGATCATGACTATAAATATTAAAAATTACGATGACCACAAATTAAAACCTGGTTTATTTTGTGAGCAAATCCTTCAAGACCCTATTTGGATTCAAAATAAATTGCAAATGTATAGTAATATACATTTCAACCAATTTCTCTTTAAAAGAAGTGGGTGAAATTTTCAGAATACCTAACATGAGACCCAATAAATCTCATTAAGATGCCATTTTTTATAGATTACGGAATCAAACATTTTGAGATAACAACGAGCTGTTTCTTTAGGTGAGGATATGTTTACTATCTATACTATCCTGAAAAGCCATCATTTTTCAGCCTCCAATTCTGGAAGACCTGAACTCTAGGTGGAACTATTATCATTTTTACCAGAAAAGGGGTTTTAAGTGCGCTCCTAACTTGTTTCCTTAATCTGTTACCATCACCCCTCTACAAATGCTTTGGAAAAACCGTGTAACTGTGTGAGGTGATGGAGGATAACTTACTGTGGCAATCATTTCCCAACACCTATTAAATCGGTATGCTTTCCCCTAAAACGGACCCCATGTATTATGTCACTTGTCCCCATTTTTTAACAAGCTGAGGGACCCTCCTACTGCCCCGTTATTGGTAAGTAAGTAGGCTCGGGGAAGGCTGCCCCGGGTAAGGCCTTCCTCAGAAACACGCTCAAATCCTTGGACCTACAAAAGGTGGACGCGCCTTTTTCTCTCCCAAGCAAGAGCAGCTTAGCGCCGCTCGGGTCAAGACCACTGTGCGCAGAACCACTTCCCTTGCACGCCCCAAGAGCCCCACAAAATGAAACTAAATTTAAAGGGGCCCTATAACTGTCTGATGTAATCGTTTTGTGACCCACACTGGCTGCGTCGTTTGCTAAGATTTATAAGGGGGGTGGGGCAGGGCTGAAAGTTGATTTGCCGGAGCTGTTATAGGGCAGCCCCGATAAAAACGGGGTGCCTGACTGTGGGTCCTCACCCGCGCGCGGAGGGGTGTGGGGTCCACAAAGCCTGTATGGAATTAGCTCAGGACATCATTTCCCCCTAACAGAGCTACACGGAGGGGTGGGTGGCGAGAGGCAAGGCTGGGGAGAGGGGGAGAAACCACTATTTTTCATCTCCTCTCCACTCTCTAGCGATTATTAAAATGTTAAAAAAAATACCCTCGACACAAATGCAAGACTGGCTAGACTTGCTAGATTCCCACCCCCCTGCATCACCCACGCGCGCGGGAGCGGCCAGAGAAGCCGCGTTACCACCGCTGCGCGCGCTGCGCCTGGAGAGGCACAGCCAGAGCCGCGCGCGCAAAGGTCCAGGAGCCGCCATGGGAGCCCTGTAGGGAGGCGTGAGCGGCCAGGCGGCTCCAGGGCCGCCCCGTCCACCTGCCGCGACCAGGACTTTCTCCTCGCGGCTGCGGCCTCGCCTGCACTTTCCTCCCGTGGCCCCGAGGCAGGGCGAGGAAGGATGCAGGACAGCGGGCTCGGGGCGAGGCTTTCTGCCCGCGCGGGAACGCACCGACATCTCCCTCCCCAGTTCGGCTCTTTTCTTGGGCGTCTCCACTATCGCGCAGAACCCCCCTGAAGAACTTTCTGGGGGCGCCCCCAAATCGCTCACAGGGGCGCAGAGCTTAAGAGCCCTGCAGGCGCGCGATCTGCCCCAGCCCCGCCCGAGCCCCCGGCCGGGCTCCCCGCCGGCCCGCCGCTCCCTACCTGCCGGAGCCCGGGCGGGGCTGGGCTGCGCGCTCTTACGCGCCCTCTTCCCGGGCATCTCCGCGAGCAGCGGGCGGGAGCGCGACCGCAGAACCCCGGGGGCACGCAGTCCCCCACCGAGCCCCTCGGGCGGGCAGGACGCGGGAGGCGACGGGGCGGCCGGGCCGGAGGAGGCGAGCGGAGAGGACCGAGAGCGCAACGGGACCTGCGAGGTTCTGGCGCGGACGCGGCCCGCGCGCGGATCTTAAGGGACTTCCCGGTGACGTAGCGAAACCTGACTCCGGGCCCACCCCTGTCCCCGCCCCGGGCCGCGAGCGCGCGCGGGGCCGCAGGGAACCCCGCGCCTCGGCGCCCTGTCTGGACCAGCTCCGGCCCGCGGCGGCGCCGGCCCGCGGCGGGGGGCGCAGGGCGCGCGGCCGGCCCGACCCCGCGCAGCCCCCAAATGACTCCCTTAGCAAGCAGGGGCGGGGGCGCAGGGGGGCACTGAGAGTCTGCAGCCCCCCGAGGTCCAGCCAGCGGCAGTTTGTGGCGGGGGCTGGAGGTCGCCCCGAGAGAGAGGCTTTCCTAGCGGCCCAGTTGGGCATGGGGAGAAGCCAGGGGCTTGGCCCTTAGCTTCTTGCGCAAATGGAGACTTGCGAAGCAATCCCCAAAAGAGTTCGGAAAAGGAAAGTTTTCCAGCTGATGGAGTGTAGGTTAAATGAGGGTGACTTTAATAAACTGTAGCGATGATGCCAGAGACGAGGCCAGAAAAGCACCAGATCGAAACCCTTAGGCAGGTCCTGCAGCTTGAAGGCGTGAGCGAGCGAGCGAGCAAACCCTGTTTGGAGGTGGAGGGTGGTGTGTGTGGTTTGTGGATGCGAGGAGGGAGACGTACCCGGTCAAGACTGATTTTTAAAGCAGAGCGAGCCTATTATTGCTCTCCCTGGATCCTAGTTTAAAAAAAAAAAAAAAAAGTAGGTAACCGTGTAGAAATTCTTCAAATGCTTTTTGGAGGGGAGAATAAATTACCCGGGAATATGGAATCATTTGCACGATGTTTGGCTGAACCTTGAGTCATTTCAAAAGGAACGAAGTAGCGGCGGTCGCTTTAGGCTAAGCAAAAATGTTCTCATTCCCTGCTCAGAAAGCCCGGTCGAAAGTGGCATTCGCATCGGGGCCCCTTTACACATGGGAAACCTGAGGTTCGCAGAGTTTAAGCGAGTTGTGCAAACTCGCCCAGTCAGAGAGAAATGCCAGGATCTGACCCCGGGCAGGCCCACCGGCAGCTTAAGTTTTTCCCTGCTGCAAACTTCCCAGAAGACACAGTTTCTTAGAAAATGAGGGCTCCCTTATTATCTGGTGTTTCATGCAGAGCTGCAAAGTAGTTGTTTAATGCTGCCTGACGCCTAGAAATACTTGTTTTGATTCTGCAAAACGTCTGCGAGATTGCATTAAAAACCTGGATTTGTGGCATCTTTTGGCAAATCAGAAGTGCCAGCCAGCTGGGATGCGGTTCCCAGAAGTGCAGAGCTCACAACTGCAGCACAAGCCAGGAAGGGGGTGTAGCCTCTGCTCCCCTCACAGGGTCCTTGGGCCGAAGTCCCGTCCGGTTCCGCCCCCCACCCCATCCCCGCCGCCACTTTACTGGCTGTTTGCTTTTCTCTTTACATTATCTGGCCACAATAGGCTTTTCAGCTTGTTTATTTACCTTAAATCGTTCAATCAACACACTCCTGCTGTTATTTATAGCTCGGTCCTCCAGAAGTACGGACAAGTGGATCATTACAACAAAAATAGTCGCCACTAAACAACTCAGTTTTGAATACGGTAGACACAGATCGAGGTGGTTCAAATTCAGGAGCTATAATCACGCAGCCCAGGAAGCTTAGTGGAGATGCTGCCTCCAAATCTGATATCTTAAAATCTGGGGTCCCCAAACTTCTGGGACCCTTTCAAGGCTCAATTTGACTCAGTGCTTAAGGAACACCACTAACTTCCCGCCTGGATAAATTAGTAAACTTCTGTTCAAATCTTGACCCCTGAAATGCAGCGAGTACATTCTACAAAAGAAAAGCAAATTATACCCTTGTTTACCTACAAAGGGTGTGTCAATCCTGTCCTCTAATATTATCATCACAAAAGGTTGTTGTTCACTTGAAGCGGCTACATACAAACCTTGGGCAAGTCGTGCATTTTAGGGAATTGCAAATTCAAGTTGCTGGAAGGAAAAGGGAGGAGTAACTTGGGGGCAGGTGGGTCTCAAAGGTGGGTCAAAACCAGCTGTTTACAGGGAACTTTTTTTAAAAAAGTTTGGATTCAAGATGATCTATAAACTCTTTTAGATCTAACATTTTATATAGAGAAATAGAAAGTGTGAAAAAGCCCCCTTGAATGTATGCCTCTCTGGAAAAGTGAAGGATCGTTTAATGTTGGACTTGCAAGAAATATACACTTAAGGGGAGGTTTTGACCTTGAGGGCTGACAAAGTTAGGATTGAACAAAAAGCATTAGAATCCCTGCTCTCTGTTAAAAGAAAGAAAAGAAATGAGTAGGGAGGACAATTTTTGAGACTATTACAAAATGACCGTGTTCATGAACGAAGTTCAAAATGGACAATGCAGAACCAGGTTATGGAAGCAACTGTGTGCCCAACGACGGAGGAGTGGTTTAAAGAGACACGCTACAACACAGGATGGAAAACTGCTCAGTTACTTAAAAAAAAAAAAAGATGAGGCAGCACAAGGAGTTAAGCACAGCACTAGGAAGCAATCCGCAGCCTCTGCAGCAGGAGTTCAATCCCTGGCCAGCCTGGGAGCTACCCACATGGTGCAGCAGACCTCTCCTGTCTCGCCCACTGCTCCCCTCAGCAGTGTATTTCGGTCAGTCTGCCTGTTCTGTTCCCTGCTCTGTCTCTGGTGAATCCTCTCACCACCCTGCATCTCTGGCCTGTACTTGTGTGCATAAATAAATAAATCTTTAAAAAAAAAAAAAAACATGAACTCTTGCCACTGTGACATGGAAGGAACATGATGCTAAGTGGAATAAACCAGAAGGGAGAAGACAAATACTAGATGATTTCACCCATACGGAGAATATAGAGAAACAAAACAAAGGAACTTACAACACTAAACCAAAACAAAGCCAGAAACATGACTGCAGACTTGAGGTTACTAGAGGAAGAGGCAAGAGATAGGTGGGGCAGAGGGGGGAGGAGGGCCATGGCCTGGGGTAAAGGATTATGGGGCTTTGGTGGTGGGTGTGGTGTGAACCTCTTCCCTAAGTCATGCACACTGTCAAAAACCCGTTGTATGCATAAATAAAATGAATCTTTAAAAAATAATAATAATATGGCCATGCCCATATTGTCATTTAAGAGTGTTTAAAAAATAACTTTAAAGGGCCTCCCCGGTGGCGCAGCGGTTGAGCGCTGGGTTGCGAAGCTGCCCGCGGCCTCTGCAGCACCGGTTCGATCCCCAGCTGCTCCCGGCCACCAGAGGAGGGTCCCGCATGGCGCGCAGACCTCTCCTGCCGCCCGCTGCTCCCCTCAGCAGTGTACTTCGGTCCTTCTGCCTGCTCTGCTCCCCGCTCTGGCTCTGGTGAATTCTCTCACCCTCCCACGCTTCTGACTATACCCAGTGCTTGTATAAAAAAATAAAAATCTTTAAAATAAATAAATAACTTTAAAGACAAATCAGCAAATAGAAAGACAAATTCTATTACTTGATTTGTAATAGAATAGCTTTCATGTATTTTTTTAAAGAATTATTTATTTATGCATACAAGAACTAGGGTACAGGCCAGAGGTGTGAGGGGTGAGAAGATTCACCCCAGACAGAGCAGGGAACAGAACATGCAGAGTGACTGAAATACACTGCTGAGGGGAAGCAGCAGGAGACAGGAGAGGTCTGCTGTGCCATGTGGGTAGCTCCCTGGCCGGGGATCAAACTCATGCTGCAATGGCTGCGGTCAGCTTCATAGGTTGCCTCTTTACCCCTTTCACCACCATGGAGGCTCAGCATACACTATTTCATGAAGAAAATTGAATTTGACAGGAAAACCAGAAGATCTGAGAGATGAATGAGGGGAGATTTTAAAGGAAGCCTGTGAGAAAATGTAGATGCTCTTTATTACAATAAAAGTCTGTTTATTACAATAAAAGGAGATTTTTTTCCTGTATGTTTGTTGACATGAAATTAGCCTAGTTCCCTGAATACTCAGTGGGTGCCCTGGTCAGCTTGTGGGTGCTTTGGGTGCAGTGTGATGACATGCATATTTCAAGACTTGCCCCCCTAGGCCCTGGGGACATGGAGCTCCCTGCCCCTTGGTGCCTTCCTAAGGAGACCAGGTCCCCATATGCTCTCAAAATTCCATGTGCCTAAGAACCACTTCCGTCTACTGATTCCAGAGATCAGGCTGGGTTTGAGAAGGTGCATCTTAAACCCTATTGATGTTAATGCTTCTGATCTATGGACAAAATTTTGAGGAGCGAGGCAGGGGTGATGCAGGTGAGTTCTCTCAGGCAGGTGCAGGCACACATGCATCTGTGCTGCGCCAGGTGGGACAGCCCGGGAGGGGCATCCAGCCAATAAGGGCATCTCTGTGGACTAGACCGAAGCGTCCACAGGTGTAGACCAAGTAGGGAAGCCAAAGAAAAGAAGTATGTTCCGTGCAGAGACAGGAGCGGTGTGAGGTAGAGTTAGAAAGTGGAGAGAAGTGAGTGGGAGAGAAGTATTCTTGGGGGGCAAGACAGAGGGGGAGCCCAGGAAGCTCATTCTGCCTGTAGTGTGACTTGACTAGTCAGGGTAAGACCCAGACAGAGACAGCATCGCGGTGATTCTCATGCCAGATGGAAGTGTTAGCAAAGATACGCAGTGTTTCCGCCTGGTTGATAAAATCCCTGTATTTCCCAACTATACTAGGCCATCTTTTTTTCTAACAAGACTGGTATTCTTCAATATAAATATGAGCGACATTTCTCCTGTATTCCTTTCCTGGGGCTGCCGTAACACATGTGCCATAAACTGGGTGGTTTTAACTGTAGAAGTACATTCTCGAGGTTCTGGAGGCTACAGGTGTGCAGCCAGGGTTTGGGGAGGCCAGGCTCTCTCTCTAGCCCCTGTGGGAGCATCTGGCTCTGCCTCCTGTGACTGC